GTTGCATTTTTCGTCCCTTACATACATAAACTTAGGGACCAAACATGCAATTTTTACCAAACAATAGGGACGAAAAACACAACAAAATCAAACCATAGGGATGATCCGAGTGCAAAAAAGAAGTTAGGGACTAAACGTGCAATTTTGACCAAACTACAGGGACAATTTCAGTAATTTACTCTTAAAATAAAAGAAGTTGAGCTCTATAATAGAAAAAAATGAAAGCACGTTGCTATAATAGAAAGAAATGAAAATAAAATGACGTCTATAAATAATTATTCAAGAATTTTGCAATGTATAATACACAAAAAGCATTCAAAATAATTATTCAAGAAACACTTGTATTTGTTCCAAAAACATGAAAATAAAATAGCATAGCATCTATAACAAACAAATAAACGAAAGTACGCTGCCTAAATCCGAATTTTTATTTTTATTTTTAGTAAAGGAAAACACGGGCATGTGAATTATCGGGATTCAAAGCTGACACGAATACTACAACCGTGTTTGGGTGGAAATGCAAGAACTGCAATTATTTGCACTTTAAGCCCTGCTCGTGAGAATGTTGAGCAATCTAAAAGCACTCTTCTATTTGCAAGTTGTGCAAAAGAAGTCACTACAAATGCACAAGTCAATGTTGTAATGTCTGATAAGGCTTTGGTCAAACATTTACAAAAAGAATTAGCTCGATTGGAAAACGAGCTAAGAACACCCGCACCTCCTGATTATACATCACTCTTGAGAAAAAAAGATCAACAAATCGAAAAGGTACCTTTTTATTTTTTTAGAAAAAGGGCAAAATTGTAATTTCACCTTTTATTAATGATTTTGTTTGTATTATAGTTGGAGAAAGAAGTGAGGGATCTTATCAAACAAAGAGATCTTGCCCAATCACGGATCGAGGAGTTGCTGCTAGCTGTTCGAAATGATCAAACTTCAACACAATGGGTAAAATTAATTTCTACTATAAATCCGAATTACATAAATTAAAAAAAAAAAAAAAAAAAAAAGAGTAAATTACTGAAATCGTCCATGTGGTCTGGTCAAAATTGCACGTTTGGTCCCTAACTTTTTTTTTGCACTCGGATCGTCCCTGTGGTTTGATTTTGTTGCATCCCTTATACATAAAGTTAGGGACCAAACATGCAATTTTTATCAAACCATAGGGACGAAAAACGCAACAAAATCAAACCACAGGGACGATCCGAGTGCAAAAAAAAAGTTAAGGACCAAAAGTGCAATTTTAACCAAACCACAGGGACGATTTCAGTAATTTACTCAAAAAAAATCATTTACAATTTCATTTTCATTTAATAAAAAATTTATTTTCATTTTTTTTTCGTACTAAAACGTCAGTTTCTAATAATCTCGTATCGGAGCTCTTTCAGAATGGAAACACATATGAAAATGAATATTCGGCATCGGAATCTTCAAGTGTTAAATTATCGCGTTCAATTCCGCCGGAAGGAAACCGGAATTCACCATCGCCATCGAACGACGTGTGCAAGGAGGTCCGATGTGTGGAAACAGACGAATCCACCAACAATCAAATACCTTCGGAATCACAATCAACTCCCGTTTCCAATGAAGAAACGGAATCGGAATCAGTCTCGGGTCCCACCACAAGACCCCAATTCCGAAACCGCATCAACATCGGGGCATTGGAGCAAAACTTCCAAGATCTACAAAACACGATAAATTCTCTAGTCACACCACCGGAAGAACCCTACGAAGAACAAGAAGTACAATCACAAATATCAAATTCCACGAGTTTTAGGTTAATGAAAAGCCGGAGTTGTAGAGCGAATCTTATGACGAGTTCTTCACCACCGGAATTTGAGAACACCCCGCCTAATGATTTTGAAAAAGGGTTTCCGGGAAGACCTGAGCGGAAGCTGTGGGAACTGCCGCCACCGGAGTATGGTGGTGCCGCTAGTGGAGGGTTGTTGAGAAGTGACTCACAGTCGTCTCTTGGAAGTACTTTATTGGATGAGGCAATTGCTCGAAAGGGGAAAACATCTGGAGAAGAAGATATTCCGAGTGTAGATACATTTGTTGCAGGATTGAAGAAAATGGCAAAACTTCAGTATGACCAGGTTTGTGCATTGTAGTTTTAATTTTTTTTTTTTTAACACCAATTTGTAATTTGTATGTGGATGATTTAGGTTAATAATGAAGGAGGTGATGATTTGGGGAAGAACATGAAAAGCATAGGATTGGATTCAATTACTGGTTCACCTCCTGCTGATTGGCCTCAACAATTTGCAAGACAACAAAAATCAATACTTGAACTTTGGCAATCATGCAATGTTTCTTTAATTCATAGGACATATTTTTTCTTGCTTTTTAGAGGTGATCCCATGGATTCTATTTACATGGAGGTTGAGGCTAGAAGGCTTTCATTTCTCAAGGAAACTTTTTCAAAGGGAAATCCAGCCATTCAAGATGGACACACTCTAACATCTGCATCAAGGTAAAGAATGATGATGTTTAATTTTTTTTTTTTATTCTTGAGAGAATCACAATTTAAACTTGTTTCTGTGTGATAAAACAGCATCAAGGCTCTAAGAAGAGAGAGATCAATGTTAAGCAGACTGATGAACAAACGGTTTTCTGAAGAAGAAAAGAGGAAACTTTATGAAAAATGGGGTGTGAATCCAAACTCAAAAAGGAGGAGGCTGCAGTTGATCCACACCCTGTGGAGCAACACAGAGGATCCAAACCATGTACAAGATAGTGCTTCAATAGTTGCAAAGTTGATCAGGTTCTCAGAACAAGGTCAGGCCCTTAAGGAGATGTTTGGGCTTAGTTTCAGCCCACCAAAAATGGTCAGGAGATCATTGGGTTGGAAACACAGCATGGCATCACTCTTGTAAAAGTCAAAAGGTTTTATAAGTTGACTTGTGGTGGGTGAACAGATTGACAAAAAAGTAAGAGCATTTTAACCGATACTTGTTTAGTAGAATGAAATTGGATTTGGGTCGTTGCTGCATGGATTCGAATTTACTGATTTGGGTTTGGTATTCTTAGTGTAATACTACAAGTTTTATGTTTGACTTTTGGGTTTTGTGAACTTGGTGCTTGTTTTAGTAAGTGATAGAATGGAAGTGGGTTTGAACGGTTGTTGATTGTCAAGCATATATTAATTAGAATTGTCACTTTTGTGTTTGTTGTTGATAATATTTAGTATTTGGGATTTTCTATGTTTGACTTCTTTAATTTGACTTTTGAGGTGGAAATGGTTGTATTTGACCTGTACTTGTTTAAATAGCGGTTCTTTGTGACTTTTGAGGTGGAAATGGGTTTGACTTCTTTTAAATGTCTATGTTTGACTTCTCTAATTTATTTATTGTTCTAAATATTTCAAAATAATCAAGTAACTATTAAAATTATCTCTCATGCCTATGCTCCTAGTATGCACATTATATATTTTCTTTTTCGTTCTTTTTGTAAACGGATCGGTTGGGTTCTTCTATGATGATATTCGCTTCACAACTAGATCTTCATCATTAACTCTATCTCGAATGTAATGAACTTCCTTTTTATGTCTTGATCTTCTGTGATCTTTAGGTTTTTTAGTTAAAGCGACTGCACTTTCGTTTTATCACAGAATAATGGATCTTTATTGCTCGTAACACTCCAAGGCCATCTATGAAGTTCTTGATCCATGTAGCATCCTTGGATGCTTCACTTGCAACAATATCAGACATGTAGAGTTTGCCACAAACTTTTCCAAGTCACCACACAACCATTCAAATAGTCATCCACACCATGATTTTAAAACATCTCTATCTATCTGGATGTTTGTGTTTGTGTAACCTTGTAGAACTAGCTCTTGTTCACCCTATACACAAGCATAATTTCTTTTGTATTTCTCACATACTTAAGAATGTTCTTAACTGTCTCGGATTTTCTTAATATCGACTCAAAGCATACGATACACCAGGACGAGTACATATCAGACCGTATATTATCGGTCTTATAGTTAAGATTTAAAAGAACGGAATAGAGCATCGAGGCGTTTTCCTTTCGCCTCACAAGGCGTAAGCCTCGAGGCAAAGTGAGGCGTAAGCCCGAGGTGAAATTAAAAAATAAAAATAAAAATTATATATCTTATAAAAAATAAAATACTAAACATCAATCAAGTAAATATTTGACAATAACATATTACTATGATTATTAGTAATTAATTAAATAAGTAGTTGACAATAACATAATACTAAGCATATCAATTAAGTAAATAGTCGACAATATTGTAGAAAAACAATGACTAAGATGGAAAGATTCTATAGTAAATAATGTGAATTAAATTACAAGAACAATGATCAAAATAGTGCCAAATGCTTTGATTACAATAACTCTAGAAGAGTTCAATGAGAACTTCTCTGTTAGAGCTAAGTAGGGTGACAAAACGTTAACCCTAATTTATACATGCATGCAGTAGTTATAGTCTAACCCTAGAACGCAAAACCGAGAATGGACAGGCCAAAACCGGTAAAGAAAACTATCTAGCACATATATTTGACACAATACATTTAAACCCCCAATCTCTCCCTTTGTGTCAAATAAGAAATGAATGTCTTCACTGTTGTTTCTTCTGAACTTTGAACAGTCTCAACATCAAATTCACAAATGTATTTCTGACGACTAGGTACCACTTGATCATATCAGTGAAGCATTTCTTATCAGCAACGATGTTTGCTTTGCAAGCTTCCATTAATCCCATGATGGAGTTCAGAGCATTAGTTGAGTATAAATGTTTGTCTAGCAAGAAGAACATACTCTTCTAATCTTTTTGATCATCTTTTTGTTGATACACCACAGTCCAATTATCTTTCTGAATTTTACCCAGCTTAAGCTTGTTCAGATCCTTCGGTTCCTCTTCAGGTTTTAGAACCGGCCTTTTCTTCAGAACACATGCTATTTATACATCCATCTTCACAATCTCATGAATGTTGCAAATAAGTATCCTTTTCAAATGAGCAATGATTGGCTTGTACTTATTCATCTTTTGACAAAATCAGGAACAAAGAAATCCAATCGTATGGATTCATGCAAGGCTGATCAATAAGAGTAAATTCATCTTCGATATGACTTGCTCCTTGGAATCCTTTGAACTTGACGTTTATGAACTTTTCAGTCGGTACAGGAGCATAAACCTTTACAACACCAATCTTCTGCGAACTCCAAGTCTTGAATTGAGGCTTGGCGTATTTAAGATAGAAAGAGAAGAGCATGTGATTAACATCATAATCTGAAAGTGGTGCCTTCTCAATCTTCTCAAAGCATCTGAACAGAAAGGCCCTAGGAGTGATCGGAAAATCAAGTTGAGAATCTGACAGATCAAAAGAAACCGAATGTTCTAGCCAGTGGATGTTCGGTTCATCAACTGCTTCCCTCTAAATTCGTTTATGTTGGGTTTTGATACGAAATAAAAGTTTGTTTTTCACAAAAGTCGGCAACGGAAGACTTTAAAAATAACAAGTTTATTTTTAGTTCATAACAAAACCGAACCATCATGGATCCATTTATAGAGGTTAGAATGAAATAAAACCAACCATAAGATGTTTTAGAGATTACCTTTGAAGCCTTTAAACCCACTTGGTTTTGGGGTGTTGATGAAGATAACAAAAGATCAAAGTGTATGATCTTCTCTACAAGTATCCACCATCAAGAGTAAGACACTTGGAATGCTAGTTCCTTATTATATTTTTGAGTGTCTAAAGCCTTTGAGTTCTTAACTCAATTAAGCATTAAAGGGAACAACTCAAGAGGTCTTCTAAACCACCAAACTAACTTTAGAAGAGAGAGAGAGAGAGAGAGAGAGAGAGAGAGAAAGAGATGGAGGGGAAAGGAGTAGAAAACCCACGGTTTTAGAGACAAAGAAATCAAGAAGAAGAAGAGCTTCACTCTTGCAAAAATGCAAGCCGCATGCATCTCATATATAACCCATGAAAAGTAAGGTTTAACCATTAAAATAATCTAAAGTAATGGTAGCCTTTAGAAGTATGAGAGACAAAAGGTGGGAGGTTGAAAAAGCAACCTCCTACACCATCATTATTCATTTTAAAAGGTAAGATTCTTTATTTTTTATAAACTCCAAGTTTATAAAATATAAACTTTGTCTTTAGGTAACAGACAAAAGAATCCAACTAGTCCAAAATGTTGTGCATGACTTATTAATTTATATCATATGAAGTAATAACTAGTAATACTCCGTGACAACCTAAAATTTCCATTTGTACGAACATTATCTATTTAATAGAAGCTAGTCCAGTTTCAGTAATTTTCAGACTAGTCCGAAAAAGTTTGGGTACATTAGGGTTTACGTTTCTGGACATATCAGGAGAGTGGATGCTCCTGTAATTGTGAAACTTGAACATTGTAAGTTTCATAATGTTATAGTCCGACTTTCGGAATAAAAATATTTTCTGTCAAAATATTCCAGGACTATAAATAGATTTCCGAATTTAATTAATTCATTATTCACAATTCCAACTAGAGAAAAGCCAATTCTCTCTGACGGATCTTCGGGTTTTCATCCCGGATTGTGAGTCTACTTTCCTAAATGTGTTTCAATACTTGTTATATGCTTTATAACATCAATTACATGTCTAAACTGCAAGATCCGAGAGTTTACCGCCCAAGAACGTTCTTGGGGAGTAAACTCCAAAACGAGGCCTAAAGGCTTCCTAGTCCCGATTCCTTGTTAGACAACTTGTTTAGGGCTTAATGTATAAACATTTGAGACTAAAATCAACAAGAAACACAAGTTATAGGAGTTTACGGCCAAGGAACTCTTGGGCCGTAAACCCCTTTTTAAGGGCTAAATGCCCTAAATCACCCCTAAGCTAAGGACTTTACCCTCTAATACTTGTGCTTATTTTGGACACCAAAACACTTCAAAACATAAGGTTTTAGGAGTTTACGGCCAAGGAATCTTGGGCCGTAAACCCCTTTTTCAAGTGCTAAAGATGCCCTAAACACCCTAAGGCTTAAGACAATTACCTTGAACACATGGGACTTGAATGGGGAACAAAAGACATCAAAATCACTCCTTAAAGGGAGTTTACGGCCAAGGAACATATCTTGGGCCGTAAACTCCAAGTGAAGGCACAAATGTGTGCCTCTTGTCCCCTTTAGCCTTAGATAAAAACATGGAAGCTATCCTACATATGCAAGGGCCTCAAATGAATTAAAACCAACACCCCATAGGAGTTTACGGCCGTAAACTCTAGGGGATATGGTCCTTTGGCCGTAAACTCCCCAAAGGAGCATTCCAAGGCCTTAAACTACTTCAAGATTATTCCAACAAGGCTAGGCTTATTCTAGGATCAAGATAACACCTCAAAACACCCAAAACCACCATGTGAGGAGTTCACGGCCGTAAACTCATGGGTTCATGGCCGTAAACTCCAAGGGTGGGGTTTGTTGGGTGGTGAACTCATATACAAGGCCATTTGTGCTTTAAACCCCTTTTGCCTTGTCCCGTATCAACTTAGATGCAACCATTAGGACCTATAACACTTATATAAAGTGTATACATGTTCCTAAGTGTCTTAACTTACTTTGTTAAGTTATTATTTGGCTAATTAGTTATATATATGCTTATTATATGATAACTAGGCTCGAACGTGTGAACAAGTCTCCGTTTGCCACCTAGCACGGTACCCGATACATCAATTCAATCTACTCACCACAAGTGAGTTCATACCCCTTTAATCAACCTTTGAAATACTTTTAAATGTTTTAAATACTTTATGGGGGGGGAATACAAGTCAAATACTTATAGTTATTACATCAATCACATGTGATTGCATTAATCACATGTGATTAATAACTAGAAAACCAATGATTTTATCACTGTTCAACTGTTTATCAAACTGTTTCACTTCAAATGTTTTACAAACTCTTTTTACTTATCAAATGCTTTTATTAAACTTTGTTTTACTTCTTATAAATTGCATGCCCATATATGTATATATATATATATATATATATATATATATATATATATATATAGTAATGTTTAAAGGGCTTAGGAAGGCCATCCGCCCTATTTCCTTTTCGCGCACTGAGATGTGGTCTGGTGGGATTTCGGGTGACCATCCGAGGGTCGTTTCATATTAGTTATATATCATATATACATGTATAGACATAAAAGTACTTCCATATTCATATTTACCAGTACATCGATAGCTAGTTACCATCGGGGTAATACAATACATATACAACTATACTAGAAACAATACATATACAATGATGCTAGAAACAATACATATACAATGATGTAGAAACAATACATATACAATGATGCTAGAAACAATACATATACAATGATGCTAGAAACAATACATATACAATGATGCTAGAAACAATACATATACAATGATGCTAGAAACAATACATATACAACGATGCTAGAAACAATACATATACAACTATACTAGAAACAATACATATACAACTATACTAGAACGAGAAACATTACATATACATGAATACTTTAATTATTGTGATTTAAATCGGAGCATGACTTAAATGTCATGGCTCGAGTTGTAGCCAGAATTCTCTTGAGGGAGAGCGTGAGTTTGCGTATAGATCTATACTGGATTGACAATCCTACACCTTGCTGCTAGCTACAGCCGGACCTGCAGGTCTGCGGGTGCCAAACGTCATTCCGTTATTACGACCATTCATTATGTCGTTGTTACTAGTCGATAGTATGGTGCAATTTATCACATAATGCCTTAATATAAATCCGGTTTAAGGTAGTTAGTACAACAGTAGTTCTTATAATACAAGACTACAGTACTACAATGATTTACCCATTACATATTTTAGTGATAACCTCACTTAAACGTTAATGTACAAACTATATTTTGTTAAATGATAGTTACACTTGGGAAATTACACACTTTTACATCAAACGAGCATACAAAACAGTTAAGCCTTGGTAGAAGGCTACTTTAATAGAAAATATAGGTTTTTCTGAGAGATTCAAACTTTTACAAACAATTGCAAACCTTTACATACATTTTACAAACTTATACTTGATACATGTTCAAACATTTTTGGATGACAAATACCGACACTAAAATACTTATGAACTCACCAGCTTAATGCTGATAAACTCTTTCAAAATAACTTGTATTCTCAGGTCATCAGTAGACAGGTACCGAGGCCAGCTTTTGAGAAGATGGAGCGCATTCAAGACTCATCTTATTATTTTGATATACATTATTTTTGGTGTCTATACTGTACAGAACACGCTTGTATTAAAATTATATATTTAATGCAATGGATGATGTTGTTTGCTTATTTACATTTACTGTGTTGTGATACTTACATGACGTCCTCCGCCCCAGAACGTTTCCGCCGTTCTTGGTTTTGGGGTGTGACAGATTGGTATCAGAGCATTGTTTATAGTGAATCAAGTATATCAACCCATAAAAGATATACTAAACTATAAACCCATTTGGGATTAAAACACTCTGACCAAGAGTCTATACTTAAAATACTAAAATATTTAATTAAGTATACTAGTCTACATTCATACTAAAACCAGTGTCACAACGACAAGAACAAAAGTATTACGATTGTTAAATATCACAGGTAAGCTCGGGGATATATGGTCAGTCCTGGGAATGGCATAGCCTGATCAACTATGCTGGTCCGAGGAGTGATTAGCATATGCCCTAGAATGGTTGTGATGTGTTAACAAGTCTAAAAACTTACCAACAATACCACAAGAAGATCAGTAGAACCTAAACTTAAAATACTATAGGTGTATTTTGTACTACCAACTACATGTATACTATATCTTTATACCTCTCTTCTCGCGTAGATTTAAATGGCTGGATTCCATCACGGCGACCCGTACTTTCCAAATGAAGGCAACGCAGGATGGCTCGAAGCAGAGTCTGACGATGAACACCCAATCCCGTTGGATGATCATCAAGCTGAAGGCTTCTCGGATGGATCAGACTCTGAGCCCGAAGTCAACAACCTACCTCCAGTAGGTCAAGCCCCGAACAACAACCCTCGACCAGCTTTTCTAGGTCCCACTCCCTTGTGGGTAGATAACTTGAATCGCTGGAGTGACGAACAGGGTCAACCCTTACCATACTTTGGGGACCGAACCTTTTACAACGTCAGCGATGGTGGCTCTGCTGACCGAGCTCTACCTGTCATTATCCGCAGAATAGCTCGTAATGTCGAGCAAGGTCGAGCAGCCATCGACCGGGTCGTGGAGATTGATGCCAACTCTGGTGTCAATATAGTCCGCATTCGCCGTCTCGAAGAAGACATGGAACGGACCCGGAGAACCAATGAAACCCTACAACAACGTCTGGTTGCCTCTCAAGCAGAAGTCATGGAACTTCGAGCGCGTCAAAGGGCTCATGAACGACACGTTCAAGAGGTGGTACGTCAAATGAGAGACCTCAGGGTTCTCCCGAGGAATACTCATCGCCGTTAGATGATGTCTAGTACATCATTATCTTTTGGGTTAAGGATTAGCCTTTAACATCTGTGCTCTAAGTAGCACTTATCTGTAAAA